CTTGGGTCGATATTACCCGCCCAACTTTGCCGCTCATATGGAATCCACCAATGCCGCGAGTTTTTCACAATTAGGTCAACCAAATTTTCATTAGTTTCTATTAGGAGAAGCCAAATTACTGCGCATCAAGAGAACTAAGTGTAGACATAGTATTTCTCTCGTGTTATAATACACATATTTCGGTGTCCTCTGTATCGTAATTCACATGTCGCAAAAATCGGAGACTAGAATGTTCATTTGTCTTTGTCGGCCAACTGCACACTAACCTCAGACTGAGATTCGAAACCGACCATATTCATCACGGGTCTGGGAGTTCTCTCAATTCAACAATTTGTCCTAGTTGTTGGACATAATGCACTAGAATTTTGATCTACAACCGTTACGGAAGGTGACCATCACTGTTACATGACCTTGAGCCTTTCCGACCACAGTCCCCGACTCAGCTGTCATCGAATAAAGGATAGAAGTTAAATTAAGGTTCCAGTACAGCACGCAAAAGCCCCATCCTTATTTAATATAGGACAGGTGGTAATAAGGGTTTAATGGGTGGGGCATGTCATGAAAATGAAAAAAATAATTAAAATGTAAAGCGTATAAAAGTAGAAAAAGCATGAATGATTATTTAAATAATCTAATGTTTTCAACAAAAAACGCGCCATAAATAAAATGCGCAACTACGCAAATATTGGAAAATGCTCAACGTTGCGGAATAACGAAATTTCGAGATTAAAGTAAAGTGAAGTAAAAAATAAATTAAAACACGCATGTCACTAATAAGTCTAAAATTACACTACAAACTAAGCTACAACTGAAGTAAGCTAACTAAAGAAAACTGAACTGAAATAAGATAGGCTAACCAAACTAAAAGATCATCTAAAACTAAAATAAAACTGATAAGATATCATAATGGACTAAAAGCTATATAAGAAAGTGAACTTAAAAATACAAATAAGTTGAACAAACCGAAATAACTTAAATAAGGTAAACTAAACTTATTAAGATTTTGAGCCCAAAGGCAACCTCACATGACTAATATGTCTAAAAATTAACTCAAAGATAAACTAAAGACTAAAAAAGTAACTAAATAAAGGTAAACTAAACTATAATAAGTAAACTAAAAAGTGATCTTAACCTAAAAAAGAACTAAAGACTTAACAATAAACTAATGATAAAACCAAAACTAAACAGAAAAATAGAATTAACTATAAATTTTAAAGAAAATATGTATGTCGTGCTGTTTTGTTGCCAAATATTGGATTACTTAAACAATTCTGGAACTTAAATTTAACTTCCACTGAGTTCACTTCAGCGGTCAACAGAATCTTAGGGTTTTCTTGTCGAGAGGTTTGGCTGGGGAGTCGAGAATGAGAGGTGTGCCGGAAGGTGTCATCCTGGTTACTTATGTTTATGCAACTGATTGCCCACACACACGCTACTCTGAATCTCCGAAAAGATTTCCTTATTGAGAAGAAGAAGGCTCGATCGCTGGGACAATATGTTTATTCGCCTTACGCGGAAACCGACAGCGAGACACGAGGCACACGCGGCAGCTCAGCCACTATTGGCCGACTGTGAAAAGGGCGGCATATAGGGAGAACCAGGAGCCAGAGTATTCATTCTGTGAATGCGGATAATCGAGACAACTATCCGAAACGTCGGATGCCAAATAAAACCCTCCAGGTGAACGCTTTTTCTCCTTCTGAACATAGGGTGCTTCACTTATAACATTTGTTGACTGGAATTGACATGATTGATTGGGAATATTCCCAAACAAATTTCACCAGGCCACTGCTTATTATTCTGACGTTCCACTTCTATCAATTTTCCAAACAACCGTAAATAATATCTTTGGTTTGAAAGCTGTCAAAAACTGTGCTGACAGATAGCTTTGCCGGCAAAGGCAGGAGAAACTGTATTAACAATAGAATCTCTATTCTCCAGCTTTTCCAGATAAATATGAAACCTAGCGGTCATTGTAACGAGAGCCCTGTGACCAACCGTTGTAGATGATGACTTTTGAAACGCCAGATTGGTAGCTAAATCCCGTTTACCATTAGAGATTTTTCAGAAAACCCAATACAACCTAAAACGCCCCAAATGGCTACGTACTTTAGAGCAAAATGGCACAGCTCGATTTTATTTAAATAATCAATGCTAGCAAATGCGTTTTATGTAAGACTCTGCATACAATGAACTCTTGTTGTCCAAAATCCTTCGCACCAACTCTGTGTATATTTCATACGGGAGTTTTTAGAGATAAAATAATTGACAAGATCTGTTAAGAATAGTCTACCTCATCATTTAAAAAGGCAAAATGAACGTTATATGAAAACAGTATACATACTACTATTTTGAGGCCCGATGGGGACAGTTAGAACACATTGTGGCAGACGAGGCAGGATCTGTCCAAACGCCTCGATATCAACAAATTTCTTGATTTTAGCCGTAGCATTCAGGCTGACATCGACCAGGAGGCTGGCAAGGAATTTGCTCCCGTCCGGCGACTCGGCGCCTGGCCACGGCACGACACACTTACGAAGCAGTGTACCCCTGTAGAGCTGCAGGCCAATGAGCGCGAAGATTGAGAGCATAAAGAGCGTGAGGACCACCACATCCCGAAGGTGCATCACAGCATCCATCAGAGCACCAATAATTGTTCTCAGTCCTGTAGGAGAGAGAGAGGTATAATGGGTGTGTGTGGTGAAGCAGATAATTTCGTTTGCTTTAGTCTATGCTAATCAGAGTCTGAACTACTGAAATTAACCATCTAATGTAGCGGTTCCACTGAACTAAAAACTTTCTAAAGTAAGTTATAAGCTTGAGAAAGATGCCATGAGTATTGCCAATACAAGCGACCATGCGTGCCCCAGGAAGTAATTGAGAAGAAGAAGATGATGATGATGACGGCACAACTTTTATTTTCCTGACGTGTCGTAGTCCGTCGCGGATCCTTCAGCAAGTACATAAGCAGAAACAATAGTAGAAACAGGACCCGTCAGGTGAATTAAAGTCATGTCCTAGGGGTCACATCTTCTTCTTAATGCCATGGGTATATCGGTAGCTAGAGGTAAATGTGTTTGGATGAGCCAAAGTTATTCGGCAAATAGATGTCAATGAAGTATTAAAAGGCGCAATGATTTTGTTAAAAAGGTTTGCTGAGTACGCTCTAATGTGGTCACTGAGCTTAACATACTCCTTTTTTGCTGCAGGATCATTGTTAAAATGCTTTTGTTTCAGCTGCGTACTCAGATTTCAATGGAGAAAAGTTTACTGTTTAGATATCTATCCACTTCTGGCTAGGAAACTCGCTGCAAAGATAAGTGCTTACGCATGGATTCGTTTCGCAAAGTTTTGAAGTATGCAGCCTGGGTTTTACTAAGTAAGTATCCTGTGTATACCGGCTCTCTGACGAATCCGCGACGGGTCTCGAAACGTCAGGCAAATAAAAGTACTGTCCCAGCGATCGAGCCGTCTCCTTCTCAGTATTCAAAATGTAGGTTTGTTTTCAGTCGGAATTTTCCTTCTTTCAGGTTAAATCATTTAGTCTCCCTGTAATTTTGGCCACAGATTTCCATAAGCATCCCAAGTACATGGTGTATCCGTCTGACACGTAAGTTCTTGTTTCTGTCTCGCCCTGCGCTACCAGCTACGGATACAGAATGAGTGAGTTGCTTAACTGATCGGTTAGCGTTCATCGATCACCGTTATTATTTCCAATCCAAACCGGCAAGATAAAGACCCTGTGGCGCGACGGGTTAGTGCCTTGAACTTCGCATTAACAGGTCTTGAATTCGAGCCTAAGATGATGAACCGCCCGGGACTGGGTATGGCTGGTTAACGGTGGCAAATGAGCCAGAAGTTAATATTCCAGTCTCCCCTGTGTTTTTCGGCACTAGTCATCCGATGTGAATCTGCCCATATGGCTGCTTCACTAAGCTGCGCCCCAGTCGGCATGATTATAACCCTCGTTGTGACGTTAAATGCATCAGACGTTCTTGCATATTCGTGACTGGCCACCTTTTCCTCTAACGTGGAAGCATTGTCTTTTGTGTTATCTGCCGTGCACATGACCGTATTTACATAGCCCAGTCTGCGTGTTTTGCACTTTTACAGGTGCAAATAGCTAAAAGTTTGCATATTTCATGCAGAATTTCCTCGTCTTCTCCTCTACACCCGTTTGGAGTAAGTACTTATGTGTGGCTGAGTATGGCTGGCTGATGACGGCAACTGAGCCAGAAATAGGCATTACAGTCTCCCTTGCCTTTGTCCGCAATGTTTATTGGCCTACGTGACCTTATTAAAAGCCAGGGTTCCTGTCCCTTAGTTTTCGCAGTGGACGCCAGTACGTAAACATTTTGAATCTGTGGCTCACATTATATTGGATCGCTTATTATCAAGCTTCTTAGGCGGTTGTATTTAATACTGACTTGCCACGTTCACTTATATCATATCGTTTAGCTAAAATGGTTTTCATTTGACTGTACTTCAGGGTTTCCCATTTTTGCCACTGACTAGGGTTCAGCTGCTGCTGAAAGACGGCTTCCTTAACCTTATTATCTGGCAGGTTCCATTGTTTAAATTGAGGACCTTTATTTCCACACAGCAAAGCTATGCATAAGCCCTTAAATACCAGTGTGGATGAAAGCTTTCATAATGACGGCAACGGAAAATTCCTGAAGTATTTTATTCAACAAATGGTTCAATTTGCGTGGAGCCAGTAAATGTGCAAACCCTTTTAGTCATCCTCAGCTGCACCATGCATTATACATCCCGGAAGCATGTTTTCACATTTTCGCCTCGTTTGTTTCAGTTTGTCTTAACTGAAGTACCCCACGTGATGACTAATTGAGGAGTTACCTATGTCAGAAGAAGGAGGAGTTTCCATTGGGAGAGATTTATCTTGGTACCTGACATTGCCGGTAGTTAGCTCGTCTACCCATCTTCGGAGAATGAATACTCTGGTTCCTGGTTCCCGTTATATGCCGCTCTTATTTTCCGTGGGCGTGTTCTGCCAATTCCGGCTGAGCCACTCCGTGTGTCTCGCGTCTCGCTGTCGGCCTCCCCCGTTGACCCTGTTTATCACCGTGGCGCTAGTGTTTGTTTCGCCCTCATGTGCGTTGGTCTCATCGGCCCCCGTCTCGCCCTGGCTTGTTTCACGTATATACACGTTGTCGTAGAGCTAGCTGGCTGTGACTGTCCCCTAATAAGAAGTCTTTAGTACAAAATAGAGGGCAGGCAAATTTATGTGGCGATTTAACGAACAGCGATCGATATCCAGGCTGCTTTAATCTACCTTGATGTGTGATCTTCACCTCGGCTCACAAGTTCAACGGCGTCAAAGTTAAAGATGCGCCCCATCTCTGCTGCATGGGCTGCTACCTCCAACT